TGGTGCTTATAACTCTGCGAGGAAACATCATGGAGAGCTGGGCGACCGCTCATTTTGCTCAGAATGTTTTGCTCTTTCAGATGACTATATTTAAAACATTTTTGTCAAAGCTCTCAAAAACTCGATTTTTACGTGAAACGGTTTTCTGGAAAACTCTCTTCACTAAGTTTCTTTAAAAATTCTGGCTCATACTGTATTCGATAGAGATTTTCAAGGGCTATCCAAATCACTATTTAGATTTTACCTAGCTCTCTGTTTTTGTGGAAAAACTTCAAAAATAAAAGGGGGTCTTCTAATTTTGGTACACCCTATATGTATATATATATTGTCTCTTTCTGTTTTGTTTCGGATTATCTGTGAAGCAAGAAAAAAACATTTTTATATGAGTAAGCATATTTTTTTAAACACTAAAAATCTGAGCTTTAATCACTAAAATTGTCTAACTACGGCAAGATTATCAAAAGACTAGTGTTTTGATCAGCAAATTTACCATAAATGAAAACAAAAATAACAAATAGAAAAGGTATTTCGAGTGGTTTCGACGATTTATTTTCTTTAGATCTGCCTTCGTAGGTTGTTTCCAATTTTAATTATCACCTTTATAAAATAATAAAATTTCCACCTTTGAGGATTTACTTTTTGTCGATTAGATAAAAATACATTCCACTTATCTGCTTTCTAATATAGAATTTACTTTCAGCTGATTAATTGATTGAAGTAGTATAGGTATTTTGCACAAGAGTGCCTGGCATATCTTGTTCAAGAAATGACTTATTCTCTGATTTAACACTGTCTCGAGATGAACAAGTTCAAATGAAAAACTTCTCTTTTGTATTGTGTAGTAAGTACATTGATCGACTAGCTTCTGTGGTAATTACGGCTTCGACTTGTCAGTATCTCTTGGTATATAAAGTTGCTATAAGCTACACTCGTATTCCAGATCAAATAAGATTAGAAAAGTTGAGTTCCAGTTATTGGAACACCTTGTTTCGTTTTAATTAATTTGTTTCGGCGAAATTGGCGATAAAATACTGAGGTTTTTTGTTGATCATTTCGCAGTTAGACAATTTTGCTAGTAAACAGATTTAAGTTCATGTTCTGCTCATAAAAAAATGGCTCGTTTGTGATTTTGGTGTGGAATTCTATGTAAGAGAAGAGTTCGTCTTGATGTTCGGTTTTGTTGATAAATCTATAGTAGCTATACCATTTTATCTTGTGTAGGATTATTCCCTTCTTTTTGTGCATAAAAACTAAGAACTAGACATCATCTTCTGAAAAACTCATTGTTAATACTCTTTAGCCAAATAAACAGAGCAGAAAAAAAAAATAACAAAATTAACTTGACTCGACTCGACTCGACTCGGAAGTCTTGGTGACTCGATTTGACTCGACTCGAAACCATTTCAAAATGACTCGAACTCGACTCGAAAAATGGCTTGACTCACCCATCCCTGCTCGAAAGTTATTTTTCCATGAAGAAAAACTTGAGTATCTCCAACATACTTTCTTTATGGTCAAGTATCTTTTGGTCTACCCTATACATGCAGTTATTTTTTTTTAAATAATGAAATAGATTTATCTGAAAAACATTCGAGAAATTATAATAATACAATAATAATATGAACCATTGATCATAATTCAACATTATAAAATATTAATAAGTGAACATACAAATTTTACATTGTCTTTTGCAATATTAATATGTCTTTGTCTAATAATATAATGAAGAAAATCAATCATATATAAAATATTCCATTTTGACTCATTCTTTCTCTCTTCTAATAAAATATTCCGTCTGTTAAAATAGCATAGGATGTTCTTCATACATTTGAAAACATATTTATATTACTTTTATGATATAAAACTTATTGATAAAGGCAGAAAACAAAAGATTTGTATTAAATGGAAAAATCTATCAGCATTATAGATTTTTTTCCGAGAATATATAATTATTTTCATTTTCCACATGATATAATACGTAACAAAATAGTAAGTCATGCGAAATTAGAAAAAAAAACTAGAACAGAAAATGAACTATTTTTTGACCGATGAACAAATTTCAAAAGATCTAACGAATCTCTCTAATTTCTAACTTTTTGCCAATATTGTAAGATAAACGAAAGTTTTCATTCGATAGAAATCTTTTTTTTTTTTATCAATGTCTACTAGAATAATCAATATTTTGCGATTGTGACAAAATTCAAATGGAAAATAGTCATCTCCAAGAAAATCAATTTTCTTGAAATTAGCATATGCTGTATTAATGTTACTCCATGGCATTGTTACTTCCAATGTGCGGTGTACCATTGGTTGCTTTTGAAAGCGTTAAAATTGAGAGCCCAAAAATTAATCTCAGTTATGCAATAAATTCTCTGAAACTATTTTCTTCTCAATTAATTCGAATTTGAGTAGAAAACACTTTCTGCCATCGTTTATAACTGGAACCACCGATGGTGCGAACCAATGTGCAACATGAATTTTTATTCTTGATAGTAAGGAAAGATGTATTCAGTCTACATCACATTGACGTCAACTATTATCTCTTGTCTATTCACATGGAAATTTTTCAGTTTCCGAAAATAATCTTAAATTGAAATATATTATTGTTGCACTTTTGTTGATAATATCAATTTTTAAAATCTTATTTCTTAGTTTATATTCCAAATAAAAAAAAAGAACCAACACAAACGCAATAATCAAAGGAAAAGAAAATTCATGGTTGAATGTTGAATAATTGTTTTTTTTTTTGTCTTTTCAATTAATCTACTTGTTATTTTTTATCTTTTTCAACTGTTGATGCACTAGTTGTTGTTTGTTGTTGTTTTTGTCTATCGGCTTCTAATTTACTCTGTTCATCTTCATACTGTTTAATTAATGTTGTTAATTCATCATCTTTTAACATACGAATTGTTGTTTGATTTGTTTTATCATCATGTTGTAAAACAGCTATTTCAATTTTTTCTGGTGATAATTTTGTTGTATCAAGAGTTTTACTAAATACTCTTATAGCTAAACGTAATGCATCATTTAATTGTGTTTCACCTATTTTATATTCTTGTTTAAGAATTGATATAGCCGTTTGTGAATTATGACCAACACATGTTGCTTTCCATCCACCATAATTTCCACTTGGATCCGATTGATATAATTGATAACCATAATGTTTATCCCAACCCATATAAAGAAATGATACACCAAATGGACGTTTACCACCAAATTGTGTATATGCTTGTTTTATATTACATAAACGTGAAACAATATATTCTATGGGTGCCGGTTCTTGATAAGTTAATAAATATCTTAAACGAAACAAAAAACAAAATTTTTTTTTTTTAATTTATGTTATTTGATTTTTGTTAAACATACCGTTGTGCAATCATACGTAATTCATTAATTAATATATTTGCATCACTGGTTATACCAGAAACAGAACAACAAAGATCATCATGAATTTTATAAATTTTTTCTGAATATTTAACATCATCAAGTAATGGACTTATATTACGTTTTTCACCGGCAAGTACAACACCATTTTCAGCAAGAATACCTAATGATGCACCAGAATGTGATATAGCTTCTAGAGCATATTCAACTTGATATAAACGACCTTCAGGAGAAAATATTGTTGCACGTGTATCATATCGACGAGCCATTGGTTTGTTTTTTTTTTGTTATCCTTTGTTTTAAATCTACAATTAATGAAATATTCATATAATGATAAACATTTATACTGCGTACATAAGAGAAGTTCAAAAAAAGAAAAAGAACAGAAAACAACGATTTAGTAAGGAAACTATACATTGACAAAAGAAAAATTGATCGAGATTTGTACAAAATTTATTTTGTTATTATTGAGGATTAATATCTAGATGACGACGTTTAGGTTTTTTTGGATTACGTGAACGACTTTTAGCTTTACATATCGGACAGATAGGTGCATTGCGATGAATTTGTTGTTGACATGATTGACAAGTCTAAAATAAAAAATAATGTTATACACTGAATAACTTTTCAATATTAATTTTTATTAGCAAAGTGACAAAATGGATGCTAAAAAAATTATTCATGATATAGAATTGTTCATATGTTTGACAGAAACATGGAAGATTTCATGTTCATTTCGAACAGTTCACTAAACATTTGTATTTATATTTATATCTAATGTTTCTTGATCTCTCTGAGTTATTTTCTCATAATGATAGGAATTTTTTTGTCGATTTTTGATCTAAAACTAAAAGTTTACCTTCATTGGTGGTGGTTGCTGTCGAAATGCTGATCGATCAATATTAGATCCCATACCAGCAAGTACTTTCGATACATTTATTCCTGATGCTTGAGATTGATTATTATTTGATGTTCCAGTTGAAATTGGACCAGTATTTATTGAATTATTCGTTTGTTGTGATGAATGAATATATGGTGTAATTAATGAATGATGTTGCTCATGAGTATTATCTGACGTTGATGTTGTTGTAGATGAATGTGAATTTCGATTTGATGTTATTGGATCATGATCAATTGGTTGTTGAGCAATAAATCTAAGCGAACAAAAAACATTTCGTAGTTTTATAAACAGTATTCCATAAGTTCTAAATCTCAACGAAAATTAGTTTATACATAAATAAAGAGTGATCCCGACCTAACTATATCCGTATGAGCTTCGAATATTTACGAGAGAATCACCCGAGGTTATACCTTGTGTTTGAGACGAGACCCCAGCCAACTTTGTCTAGAGACAGCTCTTGAAGTTATTAGACTCTCAAAAACCATAATATTTTCGAGAAGAGACTACTCTTTTTTTTAGGAAAGATAAGAAATCTTTGATATAACAGTCATAACTCCAAAAGGTCAGCGCACCGAGAAGAACCGCTCTAGTTTTTTTTTTGTGTAGTCTCAACAGATTCTACGCAATGACTAAGGTATCACATCGAATGGCTTCCTTGTTAGGGCAATGTTCTAAATGGCATATTATCCAATGACACTGTCTTTTTTTCTAATAATAGTGATATAAACAGAAGAAACGTGGTAATCAAAATCTCGAAGAAGTTTCAATAAACTATAAATTCATCTTATATAACGTAACAAATTATACAGAGTGATACGTGGGTGTGGGTATTCTCTATATCTACACGCTAATTATTACGTTTCTTCTGTTTATATCACTATTATTAAAAGAGATAATGTCATTTAAAACATCGCTCTAACTAGTCGAATGTCATATAGATATAATTGGATAGGGATCACTTTTTGTTTACATATAAATTCAACTTACTGCATTGTTATTAATGCAGCTTCATCATCTTCATTGTCAGGAATTTTTTCAAGATTAAGCATTTCTCGTAATTTATTTATTTGTTCTTTCATTGGTTGATAATCTTTTAAAAGACGTTTACTTTCGTGTAAGATTTTAGTTCGTTCTTCTTCTGCTTGTTTTATTGTTGTTTCCATCTTAAAAATAAATTACATAAACAAAAAAAAACATAAAAAAATTTTTTATTTTATACATACAATATTAATATCTGCATGAATTAATCGTAATTCTTCAATATGTGACATACGTTCTTGTACAAGCATATCAAGTTCTTTACGGAATTCACGTAAAACTTGATTTTCACGTGTAACTAAATCTGTATTTTGATTAAGATTTGTTTGAATACGTTGTAATTGATTTTGTTTTTCTCTATTTAGAAAAAAAAACAACAACAAACCTTTAGAAATTAATTTTAATATATATTTTTGAAAATTTACAAACCCTAATTCTTTAATTACATCAAGTTTACGCATTGATAATACTAAATCTCGTTCATCAATAGATGATGTTGATGAAGGAGTTTTTTCTGTTGGATTTTCCATTAGAAATTTAAAATATTCAATACAATATGTTATTTTTAAATGGATAGATAGGATAGATCAATGAAACAAATAAAGGTCAAATAAAAAATGATGACCAATCGAATAAGAGGACGCTACTATCGAATATTATTTTTATAAGAAAATTTTATTTTAAAACTTATTTTATTAAAAATTTTATTGATTTTTTTGTAAAAATAAATTTAATTGAATTCATTTTTTTTTCGTCATAGAGGTTGTTGTCAAGAGTGAATCATTTTTCAATGATAGTTATTGATTAGAGAGTGGAAGAGACAATTAGAAGTTCAATAGTATTTGATTTTGTTAATCTACAATGAGTATTGTTGAAGTTCAACAACAAGAAATTAATGGAACTAAATCAAATAATGCTTGTGTTTTACCGCAACTTCGAGGTCTGTGTTTTACATTTTCTCTGTGATTTATTAATAATCGCAAATGTAATTATTTTAGGACAGTCACAAAGACCTGCTGGTCGAACAGAAAATGATTTTCTACCACAAGAACTTATGATTACTTTACGTCAAACAGCTTTACCAGCTGAATATTTAGGACCACCTGGTATAACAAATGCAAATAAACTTTTAAGACCAATGCCACCTGTAGAGAATTTTCATATTTTTATTATTTATTATCGAAATTTTCAAGTTTATTTTGTTCTATAGGCAGTTGCACGTCGTCCAGATAATGCCTGGAATTATCCAAGACAACGAGAAAAATATCGTTATTTACTTGAACAAAATCCATGTACATGTGGAGCTGGACAGTTCGTTATTATTTTAATATTATATTAAGTTTATAAGAAATATTTCTTGTTTATTCTAGTGATATATCATTTTTATGCGAAGCTACAGCAGCTATTATAACACAAGATCAACAAATCAAGTCACCTGCTCAACAACGAACTACTGATAAAAGTGCTATTCGAGCTAAACGAAATGAATTGCAACAACAACAACAACAAGTTTGTTATATCTATAATATATATCAAACTTCATAATATTTAAATTTAGGATATAGTATTACCTGAATCAATAATACCCGCAGAATTTCGTCTAGTTAAAAATATTGGTGTTACACCTATCGAAGTTCATGACGAGTAATTATTTGTGTATCGAAATTTTGTTATTTCTATTTCTATTCTAATAGAAAACATGCAACTATCACTGAAGATCATGTCAATCATGTTACTGTATTTCCATCTTTGTAAGAATAAATAATTCGATATAATATTTAATCTTTTATATTTTTATAGAAAACCAATTGGACGAACACAAGTATTAAAATTACGACATACAATGGATGCATTATTAGAAAAAATTACTATTGAAGATTGTGATTTACATGGACAAACTCAAGTATGAATTTTTGATTAAAACAACATTTTTTTTTAAAAATTCTTATAGCTTCATAATTTACTTGAATTAATTAAAGAAGAACAAAATATTTATAATATTATTTTTCATGAAATAATTCGTCAAGTAAATTTCTTTTTTTTTGCTTTGACATATTTATTTTTATTTTTAATGTTTTGTTTATTGTATCAAGGTCAGTGTTGAATGTAAAGATCGTGGTGAATTATTAAGTAAATTACGTGAACGTTATTCATCTTTATTATCACGTGTACCTCGACAAATAAAAAGGTTTAATTCTATTTTATTTTATTAAAAAAAAAAAAAAAAAAAAAAAAAATTAAATCAATATCTTGTATTTTTTGCTTTAGTTTACATGAAGAATTAATTGCTCAACGTGCACTTGATCGTCGTTTAGCTGAACAATTAATTCAATTTAAAACAACTGTTGGTACACTTATGTTGTATGTAAAAATAATGTTGTTGTTTTTTTTGATTTATAACGACGATTTTGAAACCATATTTTAATTTGTGTTGGTGATAAACCAATACGCATTGATATAACTGAACGTTCTTGTGCTGAAACATATTTTTGTTCAGCAAATAAACGTTCTAATTCAGCAACTTGCCATGATGTAAAAAGTATACGTGTACGTTTTTTATCATGAGATATATTATCTGATGAATTTGTTTGTATTGATGAACGATCAATTTTATTTGTATTTGAAATTTTTGCAACACGAAGTAAAGTTGCATAATCACAAGTTTTTAAATCAACTAGAACAAAAAAACAAACAAACAAAAATTCTTATAGTTTTTATTTCAAATAAATTACCTTGAATAGGCAATGGATTATATCGAATAGGTTTAGGTTTAACAATTCTATGAGATGAAGATGTAGTCGACATAACTATAAATATATGTATGTGACAATACTACTCGTATGTTCTTTAATGCCTTGATAAAGAGAAAGCCATCATTGCTTTATGTATATAGTTTATTTACCTTTGTCCATATGTTACTATTACGCGTTAGTTATTGAAGCAATTCTCGAACAATTCAATTCTAGCATACATATATATACATACATACACTTGTTCTGTGACATGTAAACATAATTAAACTTATAATCAAGAAGATGGTAATAATGCTTGTCTTTTGTTTATCCTTTCTTATAGAGAATTGGAAGATGTTCGTGAACATGATCGACGTGTTACTGAAGAAGCTGAAATAGCTCAAAGAGATGTAAGAATTATTTATCGTATTCTTTTTTTTTTTTTCTTGTCTTCTATTAAACAATCCATCCACTTCTAGTAATTGAATAGTTTTTTTTTTATTTTGATATCAGAGTAAACGCTTACTGCTAGTTAGCTATTTGCTCGTTTTGATTATTTATACTTCTAAATTAGTATAAAAAAAAAACAAGCAAAATTTTCTTTAGCTTCAAACAGCTTTAACTGACTCTCAAAAAAATGCTTCACTTCTTACTGAATATCATGAATTATATGATTTACAACGTAAACGTCTGGAAAAACAAATTATTGTTATTGCATCCGAAAAAGAATTATGGCGTGGAGCAGCACATACAATTGCTCTTAAAGTAAATTTGTTTTTTAAAAGACCTCATCGACTTTGGTGGTATATCCTGAACAGTACATAAAATAGTATATAAGAAATCAAGTCATATTCATGTGCTAAAAGTCGATACATTGGTTGTGATGCTTGTAGGTATTATAAGGTAGTGATAAACATTATAATCTATAAGATATTCTAACACAGACTTATACATATTTTTTTTTTGAAACTCAATTTGATACAATTCTATGTATTCTTCAATTTTCTATAAACAGCAGTTTTCATCGTTGTTTTCTTCATACCTAAAAATGGCTCCTTTTCTTAGATCTAGGTTATTTGACTATATGATATTACAATATATTCAACTCTCTGGCTACAGAACAAGTGAGTATCAACGTGAAACTTTCTCAAAGATTGCATACTATCGAGTTCTATATATTTCATAGATAACATTTTTCGGAACAACCGAGACTCTGTCAACTTACAAGATTGCCCTCTAGAATAAACCTATTTTCTTAATAAAATGATATAAATAACTACTTCATAAACAGAAAAAAATGTTTTAGCTTCGAGACTCCTAGAGGGGGATGACACCGGTATAGGGTTGCAGAAAGGAGTATTGCTTCTTCAAATATATTTTTTCCATTTATGAAGGAGTTATTTATATTAGTTTATTAGGCATGCTGTACTAATTATTGATACATAATTATTTTTAATAGGACCGCTGAACATTATTAAAATATCGTTAGTATACCAGTCACTTCATATAGTCTATTCTAGGAAACAATCTTGTAAGTTGACAATGAGTCTCTGTTGTTTCGACAAATGTCATGTGTGATACATTATAGAGCTAGATAATATGCAAGTTTTGAGAGAGTTAAACACATTGTAATATCATATAATCAAGAAATTAACGATGAAAACTATTAACTATAGAAAATTGAAGAGTATGTATAACACTGTATCGAATTGAGCTTTAAAAAAAAATTGTATATGTTTGTCTTAGAACATTCTATAGATTACAATATCTATAACTACCTTATAATATTTCCTAAGCATTTTTATCAACATATTGACTTATAACACATCAAAATTTTCATATAACTTGATTTCTCATATATCATTCGATCCATTGCAATTTACTCTACCAAACTACATAAATGATATTCTGTCTCAGGATGTGCCACCAAATCTGGTGTGGTCTTCTTCTATTGAAGATAAAAATTTGTTTTTTATTTTTTGTCTTAAAAGGTTATTGTCGAACATAAATTAGCTACATCAAAACGTTTAAGTCTTGCTGAACAAACTTGGTATACATTAGCGAGTCATTTTTCAATTTATCTTATGGATAAAGATACAATTGAATTAACTGATGTACAAAAATCTGCAAATGCATGGCGTGAAATAGTTGAAACATTTGATCGTGAACAAGAACAACGTGAATTTGAAACAATAAAAAATCTTAATCGTCTTAATAAATCTATTGAAACACTTCGAGATACATTTCGACAAAATCATTTGTATGTTTTAAAGAAATAAGAAAATTCTTTGGTTTTTTTTTTTGCAAATGTTATTTTTCTTTTATAGTGATCTCGAAGGAAAATTCATTCACATACCTGATCAACGAAAAACAATTGAATATTTAAGTCAAATTAAACTTTGGGAAGAATCTTGTACACGTGAAATAGAAAAATTTGGTGGTGATACTGTACTTATTAATGAAGAACGTATGAGAAAAGCTGATAGACAATTAAAAAAATGGATTGAAATGACAGAACGATTACTTAATCGTCATCCATCAACAAATAGTGGAGATCATACTGAACAACAAGCACTTCGAGATCTATTTGATGTAAGAATTGTTTCGAACTAATTATACAGGAAAAAAAAATTTTTTTGTTTATTTCCTAATAATTATTTGTATGCTTTTGTTGTCTAGAATATTTCTCTTTTACATTCACAATATCGTATACGAATGACAGGTGAAAATGGTTTAGCACAATCAATTATTTTTTTTAGCAATGTACTTGAATCATGGAATAGTAAATTCAATACATATGCTTATAGTGGTGGAAAAATAAATGAAGCTGAATGGTTAGCATTTTTTTCACAAATGGATGAATGGTTTGAAACAATGAATAAAGCAGTAACTCTTGTTGGAAAATCAACGAAAGATAATCAGGATGATATCGGTGGAGAAAAGAAAGGAAATGAGACTAAAAATGTGTATGTATATCATATAGTAAAATTTTTCAAAATATTTTTTTTTTAGTGTCCAAGCTTCAGCAGTATTACAACAGGCTAATAAAGGTCTTGTTTCTCTTCGTCATTATGTTGAAAGTCATAATGGTCGTATTTCGGATGAAGTAAATTATTTTAATTATCAAACAAATATTGTTATTGATCTAATTTGTTCTTTTTTTTTTTCGTTTAAAGACTCTTCAACTTGATTCAAATATGGTTCATTGGCTTATTCAAATTCTTATTGATCTAGCTCCTAATCAATCAGCATTATCTCAAGAAGGACATGATCATCTTGAAGCAAATCGTATACCAATTGAAAATTTAATTAAAACACAAAAAACTTTATGTGAACAATTACATTCTATAACAAAATATATTGTGAAGTAAATGATAATATTTCAAATGTGAATTTTGATTTCTTTTTTCCTAGATGTTGTGCAGCATTAACTGCTGAAGAAATGTTTACTAAACAAATGCGTAAAGAAAGTGATGCAGAAAAAGAAGTACTTGATCTTAAACGTATGCAGGTAATGAAAAATTTCATTTCATTAAAATACAAAAGAAAAAAAAAAGCTATTTTTAACAGCCACTTCTACAGGTATTATTTAATATTGTCGTCTTTCTTTTGTGAATATTTGCGTATATATATATATATATGAAATCTATTTCTTTTTGTTTTTATGTATTCGAAATATAGATGAATTTATTTCTAGGATGAATGCAATGATTGGATCTATGCATCGAAAGTTCTCTTAGCTGAATTAACTGGTGATGAAAGTATAATAGATACAGGTCCACCGAAACGTGAGATTGAAAAACCATCAACAAAAGATCAATCAGATTGGCCTGATATATCAACAGAAAGACGAAAAGTAAAGTGATTAAATAACAAAACTAATGTTATTATTGCATGTTTTGTTTATTGTATCTTTATAGGATGATGATGAAACAATAGGAGGTGAACATGTATCTTTTGAAGCCATAAGTCGTGGTGGTCTAACAGAACGACGTCGATTAGGACGATCACAAGGTGATAGTGATAGAGCTAGTTCAGTAGCTTCGAAATCAGCTAAAGTTGGTTTTGATGCATTACGAACAATTGCACAATTACAACAACAATTAGCGTAAGTTTATTAATATATATATATATATATATATATATATTTTGAAATGAATATTGTTGATAATTTTATTCATATAGTGAGACAGAAGTACGAGCAGCTAGTTTACAAGAACAAGCTATGTCTCTTGATGTAGCATTACGCGAAGCAAATCAACGTATTCAACAACTCGAATCAAATCAACGTGTTCAACAATAATCAGTTAAATATTTTCACTAATCTGAATATTTATCGTATAAAAAAAGAAAATAACCAGATCTTATTTATGCCTTTATGTTCCACCTTATTTTTTTCTTTTTTGTAATAAAAATAGTAGCACTAACGTCTCACTAAAACATTTCTATTATTGATTAAAAAAAAGAGAAGAAAGTGATATAGAGAAGGTTATAGAGTTAAACATGATAAGACATATAAAAGTATTATTCCTAACATTATCATAATTACGGTGCGAAACACAGCATTGAGATAGTTCTTCACGCGAGCTAAATCGTCCGCTGTTGTGAGCACAAGTGATAATGAAAACCTTCGACAGGATAGGATGGACACTAGGCGAAATCGTTTATCGTTCCTCATGTTAATTCAAACCCCATTATAGAAAATTAAGATAGAGCGTGGGTAAGGGAAAAACATGATAATTTTGTACTTTGAAGTACGATATAGTACCTTTCAAATATCATATAACGATCCAACTGCTCGATATGGTCCATAACATGTTTCGATAAAGCATCAATACCTCTATACTCTAATAGTAAAATAATGTAATCGCATTCATTCGATTAAAATATACAGTGTTTTTTGTAAACTAATAATTTAATCTAGATGACGGAAATTACCATTACGTTATTGAATAATTGGTAATTGAAAATTTATCGCCATAATTTCTTTACACATGAAGAATATTTCATAAAGGTTGACTAAAGGAAATCAGAGTCGGAGAATCCAAATCTACCATCTGCAAAGTAGCCGAAAGCCCGTTTTGCCACAGCCTCATTCATCCTTCTCATTCGTTGAAGTTGGACATATCCATTATATCTACAGCAACAAGTTTCATCGCATTATTGTATATCTCAATAAGCTCAGAAACAATGATATTTATTATTTCTCAAAATTAGAACTTGTCTACGTCATTTCTTTTATATTGATCATTTGAGAAATGTGGCAAAATTAATTCATTGCTACTGATCATCTTTGACATCTTACTTCAATAACCTAGAGATTGGCACTATTCACTTCTTGGATATTACTGGATGAGATAATAAGAAATTTTCAATAACCGAGTTTCATGGTGATAAAGTTAAATATCTGAAGTAAACTATGATCATAGATGTCACTGTATAATATTTTTTGCAAATAAATAAATGCAGAAAAAGAATAGCGTAATTTTTTTATTTTTATGATTGGTTTATATAGCTGACTAATCGCTTTTTATTTATCTATGGATGGTATTTATAAAAGCAAAAAAAACAAAAGAGAATCAAAAACCCATCGCAATGGAACTTTCTTCGGGACCACAGAATTTAAATCCAACAATATATGAACGTACTGAAGATCGAATTATACAAGAATCAGATTACGATAATGATGTACGAGATGAAATTGATCGTCGTGAAATATTTGATCTCATACGATCAATTAATGATCCTGAACATCCACTTACATTAGAAGGTTTTAGGAAAAAATTTTTTTCATTTCTGTTTTAAACTAAAATATATATTGTTCATTTTAGAACTTCATGTTGTTGATTTAGATGGAATTACAATTGATAATCAAACTAATACAGTGCAAGTACAATTTCGACCTACTATTCCACATTGTTCCATGTAAGCAATTCATAAGTAACATATATATTTCTCTCTACAGAAATTTGAAAGAAATATTCAAGAATATATTAAAAAAAAATAATTATTCATTTTTGTTCATTGTATTTAATGATCTTCAATGTTTTGGCTTTATCGTGTTCACTATAAATATTTTAAAACTTCTATTCATGCATCAACCTATTATTTGATACCTACTGTATACATGAACAAATGAAAGATCAAGGTTTTTAGCTATTTATTAACTACTCTCAGAGAAAATGTCAACGTTCAATTATTTCTTGTTGTTCATTTCTCCATCACTCAATGCTTAATATATTAAAAGTTTTCGTTTAGTTGAAAAGAACGTTATGTTGTTAACAAATCAGAGAATTGAACAATTAATTGATAAGCAAAATTTGTAAAACCAACAGTAGCAACTAAATTTTCAGCTGTATTTATGTAAATGAAATCAAGCAAGAATATGTTCTATACAATCAATGTAGGAAACTACAGGTCCATGTTTTTATGGATCCAACTCGGATCTAGAAGAACCCACAGATCGCTAATTGTATTCTTTCTGAGTGACGTAGTAGAGTATTCAGATTTATCTATAAATATGTATATTAATTATGTTTAAATTTTTCTTTTTTTTGATTTCAGGGCAACATTAATTGGTTTGAGTATTCGAGCAAAATTACTTTATACACTTCCTACTCGTTATAAAGTCGGTGTTAATATATTCGAAGGTGCTCATATACAAGAAAGTCAAATAAATAAACAATTAAATGATAAAGAACGTGTTACTGCTGCACTTGAAAATCAACATCTTCGTGCGGTTGTTAATCGATGTATTACTACATCAGAAAGTTAAACAAAAAGAAAAATACATCTTTTTATCTATTTTTTTTTTTGATTATTAGAAAAAAAATCCGAATGCTAATTGAATATTTTGTTATCTTGTTTTTTTTTCAGATCGATTAAATTTACAAGAAAAAAATGGCATCAGCAGTACCAAAAAGTGTTTCACCATTAATACGTGCTGGTCGTTGGAGTTTATTATTAGTTGGTGTTGTCTATGGAAGTATACATAATAATACATTAAAAAAACGTGAAGAACGTGTACGACAAAAAGAAATTGATCGTGTTACACATCATGCTATTGATGAAATTGCTGAAAAAAAAATCAAAGCTGATCAATCAATGATTGATTTAGCTTATGCAGCTGGTGTTGATCCAAATCAAGCACGTATAAAACAACAAGGACAGGAAAAAAAATCCCATTAGGACTTTATATTCTTTTCTTTTATAATATAGTTATATTGTCGTCTTTAGTTTCTTAGAAAAAATATCCCGTATCCTTCTCTCATTTGTTTTTTCCATTTTCAATACTACTTCTCTGTTTTTCTTTTTCTCCATATTTGGATTAACATGAAATAGACGATGATCATAGCCAATTTTCTTTTTTTTTTTATTTGTTTCATTTTATTTCGTAAACAAATTGACTATTGTCGGCGCCAGAATTAAGTGTGGGTTGGTATAAGACGAATAGCTCGAGAATGGCAATAGCTAGCGATCTACGATTTCCACCAATCGAAAGATGCTGAGTTAGGACATGTTTTGATATAATATTATGCAAGATGAAATCATTAACTAATCAATTGTTTTCGGAAATCTTTCCGAAATATGTATCATAATGCAATGTAGTTGCAATGAAATTTTCATTCTGACATGTATATTAGATAGAGAGACTTCCGCTCTACAGTTCAAGACACAAAGAGAATGGTTATCTTCTTACTGTCTAATGTTGAGCAAATGAATTCGGTCATTTTCTTGTTAAAATCAATAGAAATTGCGTCCATTTTTAAGGCCCCCCTCAAAAATCGATCTCAGCCTAGGTACATTCAAATGGGCTAAAATTTGGAGCATATGTTGGGACTGACCAGAGGATGCTGTGGTAAAATTTTCAGCTCGATACCCTGATGTTTAACAGAGATATGAACCAAACAAAGGTCAAAAATTGCTCATTTTGTCCGCAAGATTTCTCTGTGGGCCTTCATCCAATATATAGATTTTTTTTTGTTTAAAAGAGTATCTCAAGATGCAGATCCTGTAAGGCTCCTTTTTTAAAAACTCTTATCTATCAAGCCGAGAAAAGGGTTGACAAGTTTTCATATAGAAATCTCATCTATTTTAGAAAGTTATAGAGTGCGCGAGTGTACTGGAGGAAATTTAATCACTTTGAGAACCTAAAGTTTTTGTCTCGACTAAAAGGAGGAAGGAAGGACTTCAAAGTTGCGACTGTGTTTATTCTGAAGCATATATTCATAGTTTCAATCATTTGATCAAAACACACTTATCTTACTTACATCCACAGAAAGCACTCATCCGACCAAAAAAGAAGAAGGAAGGATTTAGTGACTAAGATTGTAGATATATTCTTAGTCTCTTTCAGAACAGCTTCTATTATAATCTAATTCTTATAATTTGTTCAGAGCAGGTGGTTGGAAGACGAGCAGAGATTCTGCAAAATGTTTCAATCTGCTTCAAACTAGCTTTCATAATCAAGCTTCTATGATATGTCTAGAGCAGAGAGTTGGAAAAGGAGAAGTAAGTTTACAATTATTTTCAATCTTTTATAAGTTAGCTCTCACTACCAAATCTTTGTGAAAAATTTTGTTTATTGTGTTTAACAGAACTTTCTTTTGTGAACTCCTGACCAAATAAATTATTTCAAATTGTATATTGAGTTGCATTCATAATAGAAAGATTTTTTTTATCTTTCTAATATTTCGGACATTCCAAACTCATCTAAATTCTCATTACTATACATAATAACTTTATTTGAAAAAGAAAATTAATTAATTCGTAATTTTGCGCCTAATAAAAAACGAATTTTGCCTAAAATTTAATTTTTGCCAGTGGCATATATATAGGATTAACAGATATGTAGGCACGAAAAGTTCTTGAGAATTTTATTCATTGATTAAAAATAAATGGATGTTGAAGAAAAGCTAATGAGTGTTTGGAAAAAAAACTATTTTCTAATTGTCTATGATCGCTGAAGAAGGCACTTCGTTTTTCTATTATCCGATAATGAGAAATAATGACATTTAAATGTATAAGTTAAAAAAAAATATTCATCTTATTGAATACGTTTTTGTTTCAAAATCTGATAAATAAAAATTGTCTTGCAGTAAGACAAAAATCTATCGAAATAGGAATATTTTGTTTACTTTGAAATTTTAATCATAAATAGAACTTCATGAACACTATTCGTCACAAACACCAGTTCAAGCTGTATTGTTTTAGTTAGACTGACGAGGGAACATATTTAGGTGTTCAAGCCGTTTAGGCCCATCCTTCGGCTATAAATAGATCTCGATGAGATATGAAAAACCTGAAGAAGATTCATTCCCTCTAGCCTTTGTTCCTGAGATATGCCTGTTTTACTGAGTGTTCGGCCAAAGACCCGGCATTTTAGAAAAAATCAGATGAATGACTTTTGATCTGAAATTTCGCCTATAAATAGGTCTAATGATTCGTAGAATATTGTTAACGTTTCAGTCAAAATGGATGCTTCCTAGGCGAGATATTTCGTTTTAAAAAATCTCAACTTTAGAATATCCTTTCAAAATATGGGTTTTTATCGAAATTCTGATGGTTCTCTATTGGAGCATTCATTTTGATTGAAACGTTAAGAATACTCTACGAATCATTAGACCTATTTATAGGCGAAATTTCAGATCAAAATTCATTCATCTGATTTTTTCTGAAATGCCGGGTCTTTGATCGAACATCCAGTAAAACAGGCATATCTCAGGAACAAAGGCTAGAGGGAATGAATCTTCTTTAGGTTTTTCATATCTCTTCGAGGCTTATTTATAGCCGAAAGATGGGGCCTAAACGGCTTGAACACCTAAATATGTTCCCTTGTGAGATAAAAAGTCACTAACAAGATTTTCTTTTTATGTGATGTTATGGTCAAGCTAGAAAATAGATCTACTCAGGTCAAATAATCTTATTATAAGATCTTGTACGATTCTTACAAGATCCAGATCATATGAAAACTTGAATATGAAAAAATGAATTTTTAATGGATATTTCAAATTAATCAAATTTTAGATAACACACATTTATTGACAAATATCTCAAATTGGAAATATTTATTGATATTTCTCTTTTTATTGAACTATCTCAATTTAAACACTTACAAGTTAATTAGCTAAGTCTTGATGTACATGAAAGAATGATTGTAATTTTGCAGAAAAATGAAATTCATGGAATGGAAATAGTGCAGAAGTAATGCAATGAAAATAATGCAAAAGCAATGAAAGTGATGAAATGATTTCCATTTTTTTCAGAATAATCAAATTCATGAAATTTTTTCGATGAAAATTCTGAAAATAACCATTTAAATGAATCTTTTTTCCATCTTTTTTGCTTCATAGATATGGATATAAGTAGGACAATGAAGGCGACCTTTCTTTTTCCGTTTCTCCGAGTTCCTCATGTTTCAAAACACTTATAACTCCATCAAATCAAATCACAGGAGTCTAAAAGGTTCTTCATAATTCCGGTTTAAAGTTAGGAATTGATTGATGTAAAAAACAATGTATATCTTAATTTCGACCATAAAATTGATTTTTTCGATAAGCTCATGTAGCTTCTCTTAAGTAAATATGAATTTAATTCATTACATGATGTCAACCAAAAAATTATTGATGTATAGAAAAATGTGGGAAAATGATTAGAAATGTTTCAGAAAGATTAATAGCAGTCGTTCGAAAATAAGATCAATGCATTACAAAATTTGATTACTGATATTTATACAAAGTGCCAATCGGATCAACTTATAAACCTTTCAAAGTATCTATTTTCCCAAATAATAGTTCTTATCTTTCTCTACAAAATTATATATTTCAATCAATGAACTATATTTAGGTTTATCATAGATATCATCGATTTACTAAGAAGAGTTGAAACAATCGAATCCTTAATAGTCTATATGTTTTCTCTCTTAACCATAAAATTCATCTTGAAAACATTCTATTCATATGTGATCATAAGTGTCAACAATACTGTAATTCTTCACTTGTTTTATTAAATTAATCAATTATTGAATTATAGTGTAATTTTATTCATCAAATTGTGTGGCCAAAAAAAAAATAGAATATCAAACGTGAAAAGAAAAAAAAGAACAAGGGATATAATAAAGGAAAAAAGAACTGGGCACACAAATAGCCGCATCTTTCTACATTAGAAAAATAATAATCAGAGTAGATGTATAATCTACAACTGTTTGCTTTAATATTTCAGACTAGAATAGAAAAAGAAATATTTATGTTATATCAATCGGTACGGAAAAATTGTGTTTTCTTTTTGTTCTCTTTTTTAACGCGCTCGTACAGGTAAACCATAAATAACTGGTGCAGCACCATTTAAACATTTTAATTTACACAAATCACGACCATATCGTAATGCTTCACCAAGTGATGCACCTGCTTTAAGTTGTTCAAGTAAAAAAAATGTTAAACTATCTATATCACGATCGGTTACATCCCATAGACATCCAAGAATTGTTGCACTTAAAAAAAAAGACAAATTAAAATAAAGTTCCAACAATTCGAAATTTGAGCAAAAACTTTTTTTTTGTTGCATATTCGAACATTGGTTTTTGTAGCGAACTTTATAGAAAAAACCGTATAAAAATTGAAGTATGCCAAAAGCATCAATATTTTGTATTCAGAGATTGTGACCATCGGAAATTCATTTTCTAAAGGCACTCAAAATCAGTAGATAAATCTACATCGAATAGTAAACACAATGCTTAAGGATATCTCCTTTCGTGATTCAAAATTTTTGATTTTTTGT